AATTTGTATAGTTTCAAGAATTCTAATAAAGTACTAGCATGACTGCTTAAGTTAAAAAAAAAAAAAAAAAAAAAAAAGTTGTTAATTTACATCATTTTATATTTTAAAAAATTCTATATTTCTATTTAGAATATTAAAAATATAAGTTTTGAATTAGAACTATAATAGCAAGTCATAAAAATTGGCAAATATATTACCAGATTTATAATTAATAGCAGATTTACCTTTGTTTATTGTTCTAATAGCATTATTATTATTATTGCTATTAATTATTGTTATAGGATTTTCAGAATTATATAAATAAAATATTATAAAAATTTTAGTATTAGAAATATTAGAAATTGTACTTATACTTGCCAACAAACTTTGGACAAATATCAAATCTAAAAAAAGAATTTGCTTTTTGTAAATAAAGATTATTAATAAAGATTTTTAAGATATTAGTTTGAGTCAAAGTTTAAAACTGGGTATAAACAAACCAAAAATATAGTAGTTAAAATTTGGGCAACAAGTATAATTGTATCAAAAGTAATATTATATTTAATAGAGCATTACCAAATATTGTAATAAAAGCACTACTAGACATTTTAGTAAAGAAATTGCTAGGATTTGTATCAGAGACATTTTTACTAAGATTTCTATTAAGAGCACATCTAGGGTTTGTGTTAGAAGCAAAACTAGGCCTTGGATCAGAAACAATACTAATATTTGTATTAGGATTATAACCAATATTTGTATTAGGATTATAATCAGTATTTGTATCAAGATCATAACTAGAGTTTGTATCAAGATCTTTACTAGAGTTTGTATCAAAAAAAATACCAAGATTTGTATTAGAAGCAATACTAAGATTTGTATCAAAAGAAATACTAAAAAAGAAACTATCAGAATCAGAACCAGAATTAGAATTACTAGCACCAAATAGATCATCAAAAGAATCATAATAGTATGAAATACACCAACTGGGAGTCTCAATTGGTGGTGTATAATTATTTGTAACTTCATCATTTTCCTACTGATTTCTTTTTGGCTTATTTTAATTTTGTGCTACAGAAGTATCTTTGCATAATAACAAATTTGGTTAAACTAACAAGTATATAAGTACTAATATTTAAATTTGTATAAATTATCTATTATGATAGTTATTTTTTTTGATCTCTATTCCTTTCTCACAATCTTTATAACATGATTGTGCTGATCCAGTTCAAGATCTTGCCAGACTTCTCATTTCTTTTCTTCTTCAGCTAGTTCAGCATCTGTTTTAGATATCTTATTACTATAGTATTCACTTTTTCCTATTATTTTTTTTAAATCATTCAGAGTCTGGCTCTCTGGTATATTAATAGAAAAAAGGCTTTTGAAGTGCCTACTATTTGTTTTTTGCAAATGAGTAAACTCTTTTTTTTACTAATTAATTTTCTGAAAAATATATTTAAAATTATTCTAATACTTATATATGCAAAATTTTAATATCAAAATTTTTTTTACAGCAATTATCTTTTGATTTTCATAATTTTTGACATGATTTTGCTTATCTTTTTCTAGAACTTGCTGTTTCTGATACTTTTTTCTTTGGTGCTAATAATGTTTTTTAATAATTTTCAAGATCTGATGGTCATTTACTTGGTACCTTTCTATGTCTTGTTTAATAATTTTGAAAGAATTCTGAAGGAACTTCTTTTTGAATTCTGATCAAACTTTAGCTGAATTAGGTTTTCTAAATTCTTCTAACCTAGCAATTGAAATCATAATGTTATTCTATTATAATAAATTTAAATAACTAAATAAATATATATAAACTTCCAATTTTTATTTGAGAAATTTTAAATAAAAATATAATCTGATGCTGTTTAAGAGAAATAAAAAGGCAATCTAATATTTGTTTAAATACTAAATAATTATAATATATACTTTTAATAACTTTTTTGTTCTTGGTAAGAGACCTCGATGCTTTTTTTTAGAAGATTTTCTTCATTTTTGTTTGTTGTTGCTGCTGTTGTGATGGTTGCTATTGTGGTGGTTGCTGCTACTCTCATTGCTGCTGTAGTTGCTACTGTTATTGCTGTTGCTGTTGTTGCTATTGATGCTGTTGTTGCTATTAGGTAATGTTGAACAGGCACTTTTTTATTTTTTTTGGTGAAATTATCAATTTTATTGCCAAGGTTTTTTATCTTATCTCTTAGTGCTTTTATTTTATCAACTATGAAAAAAAAATGTCTAAGCCATCTATTTGTTCAATAAAAAAAACCTTCATAGAAATTTAGCTGATATGTATATAAGCTGCCTAATATGCATATGTGCTATAAGCCTTTACTTGATATATAAGATTATATAATAATTAAAATATTACCTTTATTACTGATATAATTTCTGCTTTATGCAGATAAAGAAAAAGAAATACTGAAAGAACATAAATGACTCATGTTAAAATAAGATGATAGTAGTATTAACTATAAAGATATAAAATAATAAGCATTTTTTATCCAAAAGAAAAATAATATAAACTTTTGTTTTTTTTCTTACTTTGAGAAAGAGAGAGAATATTACACAAGAGTTATGATATGATCATTTTTGTTTTTTTATATTAGATCTAAAAAAATTTTAACATATCAAAACAAAGTGCATAATAAAAATAATTAGTAACATATTACATGTAATTAGTACTATAATAGTTTCTATATAATAATTTAACTTCATATTTATAACAAACTTCAAAATCTGTCTGTATTATGAAGCTATATATGTAAAATTATGTATGAATTTTTTAAAAATATACTGTAAGCAATACAAATTATATAATTTAGATAGAAATATATATCACTTATATATATAAATTGATAATAAAATAGAATTTTTGATTTGCATAAATCAGTACAGTGATTGGTTATTTATTTGTGATTTGATTGAATAGAAACTTGTGCATAATTATTAAATACTTAATTACATTAACCTTTAAATTATTATGTAAAATAGATGTATTGACAGCACTATATAAGAAAAATAAATATATTTTATTTATCAAATACTTGATTTATTTAAATATATATTTAAATTAAAATAATTTTAATACTGATATTATAATATGAGTTTAGTAAATTATGATTTAAATTCTAATGTATATATTTTTTTTTTGCAGTATTATATAAATATATTTTATTTATAATAACAATTTATTTAGATATATACTATGTAGTGTTCCAATTTGCTACTTTATATCTATATTGGATTTATCCAGATATCTATTTCTAATCTATGACTAATATCAATAATAAACTAGATTTCTATAGATATTCAAATTAGGTATTTAATAGATAAATAAATAGATAGATAATAATTAGAACTCTAATAACAGGTATATTTTAAAGTTGAAGCCATAAGCTTTATTGTTATTATTATAAAATTTTAACTGCCAGAAAAATTTATATAATGATTTGCAAATAGATCTACTAATTCAAGCAAATTTGTTTTATTATACTAATTAAATATAACTACTAATTAATATGGCTGATTTATTTTGAACTTGACTATTGATTATTTACTGATTTATACAAATAACAAAGCAAATTGATAGCTAATCAATAGTTAATTGCTAATAATATTTGGTATAAATCAGCTAATTAATTAATAATTAAGTTTAGGTCAAATAGCCATTTTAATAGACTGTCAGAAAATATAATAAATCAACTTATATAGAGTTTCAATATAGATAAATCCTTCATTTATATATCTATATCAGAATTTATTTAGATATTCATTTTCTATTAGTATCTAGATAATTCATTTACATAATTATTAGTATACTTATAATAATTATCGATATACTAATAGTTAAATGAATATCTAAATAAATTTAGATTGAATATCCAATAGATAAATGAATAAACAAATAATAAATTAGAACTCTAAATTTATAATCAGTAGTTAATTACTAATACTATTTAGCTTAAATATATTAAATTTGACATCTAATTTTTAGACAAATCTAGATTTATTTAGAATTCAAGTGTTAAATTTTAAAAAGCAAAATTTATACTAAATATATATTGCTATATATATAAATTAAAGTTGGTTTATTAAAAACAGTTGAAACTTGCTATAAATTATATATTTTTTAGAATTTTGTAATATAACACTATAGCAGAATACCGCTAGTTCCCTCAAATCACGTGATTAATATTTAATATTCAAAAATTAATCTAATCAACTAAATATTTATTTGTTATGCTACATCTATATACAATAATAGTTAGTACACCTTAAAATTCCTATGAAATTATCTAATATATTTACACAAAGAATGTCCTGGGTCATTACTTGAAACACAGTTTAAAGAGTGCTAAAAATTAAATTAGTCAATATTTCTCAACATAGTATCCCAGACGTGTTTCAATATGGACATAGTATCCTGGACGTGTTTCAATACGGACATAGTATCCTGGACGTGTTTCAATACAGATTGTGATTTGCTCTATGTACATCGCCCAAATTTTACCAGTGAACTATGTACGTACGCACATACGTACATGCATACCTAATCTAATTGATATGCATTATACTTATATGTAGTAAGAATACGTAGTTTCACAAAACTGGATGTAATAACGCATTCGAATGCAGAACCAACAGTTAATATCATGTAGTTACTGTCTAAACTATTAAAAATAACCCAAGACACGATTGTTTAGATAAAAACTACATTTGTTTAAGGCTAGATTATAACAGTTATTGAATTTGTTAATTGCGTCTTAAAATAACATAAACAGTCGCATGCATAAATTTCAAATTACATAAACAACAAACACTCTGAAAAGCAACTAATAGATCATACCAGTTTCCTTGTTACCTAACTTAATACTAATTTGTTAGCTGTCATTATTTCTAATTGCAATATTTAAAAGCATAGCAATTAGCATGAATTTCATAATGTAATATAAGAATGCTAATTACATAAGTAATGTATATACCTTACAACCCTTTTGATAATGACCAAGTTCTCCATATTTTTTGCATCGACGTTGGTTTGTTTTGATATTTCTTGCTTCGTGTGCTGATTTGAGATGTTTACTACCTGTTGGTCGACCCTTACCGTGACGTACTTTTGGATTTTTAATACAAAAAGCTATAGAATTATCAATTTTGTCATTTTCTTTATCACTATCATCTGCATCAGTAACACTTTCATGATCTTCTAAATTTGATTTATTGCTATCATCAACAAATTCCTCGAGCAAACTGATTAATTTTTCAGATTTTGAATGCGTTTGTAACGCCTTACAAAGAGCTTTCTTGTATGTTCCATGAATTTTTCTGTAAGTGACTTTTTGTTCTAAAACAGTTAGATTCTCTTCCATTGAGTCTTTTCCAAGAACAGATAAATATTGAACAGAAAAGGAGCAACTCGATTGTTTCTGTGTTTCTTGATAAAACTTATCTGCAACTAAAAATGGTTCTTCTATTCCATTTTCGCTTGTACAAAACCATCGTGAAGGTAAAAAGCGAATATGAAATTTTGCCTTACTTGTAACTAACATCACTTGAAAATAGTGTCTACACACAATGCCGCGATGAATGATAGACAAACAGGAACATAGATGAGATTCATTTTGTAATAATATAACATAGTGTTTGCTTTTTAATGAGTTGCTGACATTAATAGTTCATAACTCTTCAATATCATCTAGTCCAACGAACTCAATCATTTGTTTAAGCATAGCTTGCAAATCGTCAGCACTATATTCCCAAGAACTAAATTGTAGATCATCATCATCTAAACTTTTCATATCCTCACGAGCAACTTTATTAGCGACGTAATATACGGATTGATTTATTTCATCTCATTGTATTTTCAGCATCGTAGGAGTAAGAAACTGCTGGATACACTGATCTACTTTTGAGAACAAAAAATTAACCTTTTCCTGATGTTTTATCATTGGAATTGCCAACTTCCAGAATTTATACTCATTTTCTTTATCTTGAATATCAAGCAACTTGTGAATTTCAGTGGCAAGTTCACACAATGAAGTGTTTGAATTATATATTAAATGCTTTAGGCATGCGTTCATGGATTCAACACACGACGTAGCGATCATACTGCCCGTAAATTTAAAATTAGTAAAACAGTATGCCCAATAGTTTTTGGACTTATATAAAAATTCCAAATAATGTTGAGCTTTAGTATAATTATTAACAAGCTGTTCAAAATGTTGTTAAAATCCTTCCTTACTCAAACAGTTGCGACAAAGGTAAAAGTCATCAAGAAACTTTTGATAAGTTTCACCTAATAATTTTCTTAAGTTTTTATGCAAATTCTGAGTAATGTGGTATGCACAATGGATTGGATATGTATTTGTAAATACTTGATGAATAGCAGTGTTAACGGCAGGATCAGCGTCAGTAAGTATAACTAAAGATTGAGTATTAGTAGTCTTAACTATTTGCTGGAACATCCAAATATGAGATTCAAGACTTTCATCAGCCAGAAGTGCTTGTGCCAACAAGATATTTTGACGGTTATTATCAAATCCGACAAATAATGATAGTGCCATGTCGTAGCAGTTTGTCTTATGTGTGACATCATTAAAAACACAGTCAGAATATCGAATCCAATTTTCAACTTGCTCCGGTTTCATCCAAAGTAAGTGTGTCAAGATATTATCTTCGTCCCAGCCTCGGGCAATGACCCAACGTGGATCCTTTTCCTTTTGTTGGTCTAACCAATTTGAAATCTGTGCAGCGTCATTTGACAAGGACTTAGCAGTAGGCCGAAATCTTTGGATTATACGGTATAGATCTTTCGAGTGAATCGGATAGGTTGGATACTTTCTTTCAAGAAATTTCCTTTGCACCGTTGCTCTGAATTTACAGTACATAGTCATGAACTTCACATCTTCTAGCATTGAATTAGTAAATTTCTTGGCATCTTCAAACACAATTAACTCGCGATTTAATGGATGATTATGTTCATATACTATCTTGTTGACGACTATAGTACTTTCAGGATTATTAACTTTTGGACAGGAAGTATTAACCAAAAAAGGACAATGGGTCTTTTTTGTATTAGTATCTTTATTTGAAGTTGAGTCATATGAATGACTATGTTCACATAGCAAAGTCCGCCGGCAAATAATACTCTCTTTACGTTGAACCGGGTCTTTTACAATACGAAACCCTTGTTCTTTGGCCTATTTATTAAGAAACTTTTCGCATGCTTCCCACGTAGAAAATCTCTTTCCCGAACACAAAGATGTAGTTACATATTCGCAAGTAGTAATTGACTCAGAATCTAATAAGTATCATAGTTACAGAGTTATACAAAGCAGTTACCACAAACACTAATAAAAATTATACCTGTCTTAACTTCTAATTCCAAACTGCTAACAACATCAAGAAATTCATATCCGTTCTGACTTTCACTTATTGTTTGACTACTAGACTCGCAAGAAAATTCGTTTCTTTCTAAGCTTTCACACATTGTACTATATAAGAGATAAGATGAAGAAACAGTAAGTATTATAATAGAACATCATGATAGTATGTACTGTTCAAAATGAAAAAGCTCTATTAAAAAATAGTTATTTCACTATAACCTACCCTTACCCTAAAATGAGAAAAGGATTATGTTAATAATCACCCTCATCTTACCTATTAAGAAGAGATATACAAACTTTACGTGATTTGTTATCGTATGCACATTCAAAAACTAGCAATTTTTCGTATATTCATACTATCGTACCGTACTATTTACTTAATACGAAAGTAACTTAAAAAAGGCGCACTACAATTGCAAGCACCATTAGTACTGTGTATTGGCCCTTATACATACACACTTCTAAACAATCTGTCTTCACTACGATCCCTTGTTTATACAGGCAAAAAACTCACTAAGTCAATCATCTAAGTATGCTGTTACTGTAACAAAAGATGCAAAAGGGGTAAGAAAAGGTGTATCAAATTTAATGAGAGTTTGGTTATATAGAGTTTTGAATTGCTGTGGCTTAGATTATTAATTGAATTTAACTAACATGAATCTAATTGTTTATTTATACAATGACTAAAAGTAAAATTTAAACTCCATCGCTGTGCTTCATCATACAATACATCGAATTATATTCCAAAATCGGGTCACCTGATCATGATCCTTTTACCTAGCATACCTTTTATGCGATGCATGCGAATTAAAGAGCAATTAATAGAAATTAGGAACATTTATAAGAGGGTCTATTAACGATAGCACATATAAGAACGCAATACAATGGATTCTTCCAAAAATAGAAATACTAATCATTGGGGGTGTAGTATAAACAACATTTGCAGGTTTGTGCTACTAAACAATTATTTATTACGAAATCGTGTAACGTACTATCGAAATTTGTGGTCTAGCAGTAAACGCATATGCGAAAAATAATAAAATTCTATTTTTTATTATAAAAATAAAAAAATTAATACAAAATTTATAAAAAATTTTTTCTAAAAAAGATTAAACTCTTTGCTTTCTTTGTATTTCTTCTACAAAATCAAAAACAGGTCTTTTATTACTTTTTTTTTACATCTCTATTTTTTTTTACTATCTTTACTATTTTTACTTTTGAAGCCTTTTTTTTCATTGCTACTTTTTTTTTTTTTCTTCTTTTTCTTCTTTTTCTTCTTTTTTTTCTTTTCTTCTTTCTCTTTTTTCTCCTTTTTTTTCTTCTTACTCTTATCTCTACCTTCATCATCCTCATTCTCATTCTCATCCTTATTACTATAATTAGTTTCATCATCTTCAACATTACTTACTGCCCAATCAGGAATATTATCAAGTTAATGTGCTATTAGTGTATATGATGATTGATAAGAATGTTTGTAATTAGGTTTTATAGTTGTATTAAGAATATTATATAACAGGCCAATTAACTATTAAAATAAATAAAAAAATCAAACTTTTATATAATTAATAAATTAAAATTTAATATATTAATTTTACTATTTTTTTTTTTTTTTTAAAAAAAACTTAAGCAGTCATGCTAGTACTTTATTAAGATTCTTGAAATTACTACTGCAATTATATAGATTTACCTAACAACTAAGTCTAGCATCACCTGGCCACCTACAGGATACCTAAATGCAACCTGTTGCATTACTTCAAATAGAAGTAAGCTACTTATTTGACTACTTAAAGTCTATAATAAAAGAGTCTTCTCCCTTCCACAACAAGCTCCAATATTGTTTTCCTAGTTTCTTTATTAATTCTATTCTTTTTCTCTTTTGCTTGTTTCTTTTCTTCTTCAATCTTCTGCTGATTTGCCTTTCCTTTCTTCTTTGGATTCTTCTTCTTTATTTTCTTTTTCTTTATTTTGATTGTTATGCCTTCTTTCTTCTCCTATTCATTGACCTTTTCACACTATATTCTTCAAACTTGTTTATAGAATGTATCTCATGCTGTCTTTGTCACTGTCTTGATAAACTGTTGTCTTGCTTTTGTATTTAGAAGTTGTGTTAGGTTATCTTGTGTCTTTTCTAGAATTAAGCCTTTAATTAAAGCTTTTTTTATTTCTATTTTTTCTACTTCACTTTTCCCAAAGAGTGCTGTATATAGTATATATGATGGAATGTGAGTTTTTTTTTCTTCTTCTAACCCTTTCTAGGCTATTGCAATAGTTACTTTTTGAATTCATTTTCAAAGGCTCTGTTGTCCTTTGTATAATGCTAGATATGACTATGTTTCTTTAACTTTGTCTTGACAAACTTGGCACTCTGTTGTTGTATATATATCTGGCCTTCTTCTATTAAGTTCTTTTAGAGTTGGAAGTTTATCTATCATACACTTTATAAATGCACATCTTCTCATATTACTTCTTCTTGTTATGCAATGCATTTCTTTAGTCATTTTTAGTCTTTTCCAAAATTGCATCTAGTTATGAATTATAATTTCTGTTTTCAGTTTTAACTTTCTGATTGCATTTGTTTCTTTTTATTCTGCTTCTAATCTTGTATTCATTACCAATTTGTATAACAATCTTGCTGGTATGTCAGTTCATTTGTTTTCTCACTCTAGGCAGTACTCTATCTCTTTACAACTGACTTTCTCTATTTGTATTACTTTTTTACTTGTCATTCCCTTTTTTGCAAGGCTATCAACTTTGTTATTCTATTTGTTCTTGCTATGACTTTTAACTTTTACTAACTTTATCTATATACTTTTTGTATTGATAAGATCTATAATCTTCATTATCCATATCACATTTTTCTTCTTAAGAGTTTTTGTTCTATTTATTTGCTCTAAACCTCTACTAATATTTCTTATTGCAGCATTACTGTTTGTATATACTTCTTGTTTCTCTCTTGGTATTGTTAGGATTGCTGCCCATATTGCTACTAATTCTGCTATTGTAGATGTTATTCATCTTTCTAGTCCTAATGATGTTTCTTTTTCTGGCCACTCTTGTGTTTCATTTGTTTGAATCCATCCTATGCCCATGCTTCTGCCTCATATTTCTTCTTTGGTCTTTGCATTTGTAGCACTATCTATATATATAATATATTTGTCTTTGTTTCTTAATAGGTTTCTTCTTAGTATCTTTAGAATTTCTTGTTTAACATTCTTATTTAGTTTCTGTCACTTGATTATCTCTATTTCTAACTTTTCTATCATTATTAGTTCTTCAAGTTTCTGCTCACTGTCTTTCAACCTTTCTGTTTCTACTTTTCTTATCAACTGGTCTATAGTTATCTTAATCTTGCTATTTTTTTTTTCTATTGATATGTTGAAAATTACTTTAATCTTGTTATTTATTCTTATTTATTGCCAACAACTGCCTTCTTTCTGTCCTTCTTCTTCTGTGTATTCATTACATCTGCTAATTTCTGTTGCTATTTTATCTTCTTTATTTTGCATTTGCCAATGTTTTAATAAGATTTTTTTCTTTTTCTTTTTTATTATCTTTCTTAATTGTCTGTTATCTTGTATACTGTATATTATTCTCTTTTTTCTTCTTTTATTTTTTGTCATGGCCTTTCATATTATTTTTATCACTTGGGTATTATGCCTGTTTGTCTTAAAGTATTCTTTGATCTTTCTATTTGTTGGCTTTTTGAGCACTTTGGACTCTATTTCTTTAAACCATTCTGCTTTTTTGCCTTTACTTAAATATCCACAAAAGTTTTTAAATTGTTGCTATATAATCAGCTTCTCACCTTTTGTATTAAGCAGTTGGTTTAGATAAATTAAATCTGCTTTATTTATCTTTATTTTACTTCTTTTCCACAAATGTGTTCTAACAACTCTTGTATTTTAATATCATATCCAAATATTTTTCATAAGTTACTTTTTGTCCTTATGCTTATTCCTAGTTTTTTTGCTTTTATTACTGTCAGACATGCTAAGTTGTTCTTCAATACACTTAGTTAGCTGTTATTTCTTCTAACTTTCAAATATCTTTTATTAAACATGCTTTTTGACAATCTTGTATTATTCTTAGCTTCATTAACTAACCTAGGCTGTCTTGTCTGTTTAATCTTAATAGCAAGCCACTCACTTGCTTTATTAATAGCTTTTGTTGCAATATTCTATACCCACTAAGATCTTTATGTTCTATTATGCAATTTTCTAATGTTCTTTGCAAATTGCTTTTTTGTTTTGCTAAACATATTATTGGTTGAATATTTCATGTATTTACTTTTCTGAGATTTTAGTTAACTGAAGCATGTAACTTAGTTTTGGAATTATTATCATATTGTTTATATACGTAATCTGGCTTGTTGTCATCTTTTTGAATTTAAGATCTTTTATCATCTAACTAATTATTTCTTTAGCTTTCCTTTTAACTAGTACTTCTCACATTCTGTTATTCAGCCATATTCCTAGTAACTGAACAATTTTGTTTCTTGGCTCTTCTCTTATACTACTTTTGCCAAAAGCTACTTCTCTTTCTTTCTTTTAATCTTTGTATTTATCACTAGCAGCTTTGATTTTGATCCATTAATCTCTATGTTATTCATCTTAAAAAACTTCTTAGCTACTTCTATAATCTTCAAAAGCTGATCTTTGCTATTTGCAATCTATGTTGTATCATCTGCATATGCAATTGCTGTCTGGCAGAATTTTGTGACATTATTATATTGCATTTCTTCTTTAATTTGTTGTTCAACTATATATCCTAGACTTTCATCTTCTTGTACTTTCTCTAACAATGGATCATAGAAGAGATGTCATATTAATGATGATATTACTTTACCTTGATCTATTTTATCTTCTGCTATTACTTCTTCCATTAAGCCATAAGCTGTAATTATCATTAGTTGTCTTTTGTAAAAAAGGTTTAAAATGTATTTTATTATTCTTTTAGGAATTTGACTCTTTGCAATGCTATTTCAAGACTTTTAAGTAGGACTAAGTCAAATGTTTTCTTTATATCTTATAGAAAAATCCATACTTCTTTATTCTTTTCCTTTGCCTCTCCATTATCATATTAAGGATATGTACTAATTGCTCTGTTGA